TTTGTACAAATTGTTACTAAATATTGCGCTGTACGAAGCCATGTGTATGTAATAGATGGATACAGTGTGGCTAAAACTTTGTTGATAAAAAATGCTAGATTTTCTTCATGGCATAATTACAGAAGGTAGTCTCATTTGAGATTTTTAAGATGGCAACCTTTTTTAATTTAATATGTTATGTATGTCGATTGGCATATTTTCAATAAATTAAACAAAATATATTTTCTAAAGCTGAACATTGCTCTCAATATTTAACCATGGTTGTTAAATGTTATATTTATAATAAATTATTTAGCAATTTTTGCCACTGAACACATGATATGATTTCGAAGGAAGATATATTCTTTTAAATTTTGAAATACTGAATACTGTCAAAGGAAAATTTCTAAAAAATTGGAAACATATGACTACATGAGACTACATTGTATAGTTAAGCCATGAAAAAAATGCTAGAAAGCGCTATTCGGTGTTTTGGTGACATTATGCGCGTTTTTCAATTGAAGTGGATTAAATTTTATATTTTGAATTCTCATTGAGCAGAAAATCCCCCTACCAAGAATTATTAATATAGGGGTAGTCCCCAGAGGCATTTTGTAGTTCCCATTATTAGACATTTTGAGTATGTAGCCAAGTTTTATATCTGAATCGACTATAATTCGATACTTTTGATTTTAATGGGGTGTCAAACCTTCCCATCTACCGTACCACCCATGGTATAATTATTATAAGGTAGGGCACAACTACCAAGCACTTATAGCATCAATAGTAAACATACCTCGAAATTTCTCAACATATAATATGCGTTTATCTTAAGAACGGTTACAGATAGCGTTTTCAAAATTTGCCTGAATAACGAAGGTGTGAATACACACCATCCATACAAAAATGAGCATGGTACGATCAACGGAAAATGCACTTTTTACTGCATTTTAAAAATCAGCATATTAAAAATTGAAAATATTTTGTTTGTAGACTCTAAAATGCTGAAAAGATTTGAATGAGATTTTCACAGAACGTCATAACATGCCCTGGGAATAACGTATGCTAAGATTCCACTTCTAAGATTTCCCGAGGATGCGTTGTTATAGCATCGAACGTTATCATACCTCAAAAATTATGAACATGTAAATCGTGTATATCTTAGGTACGGTTTAGATACCGACTTCAAACTATTGCTGAATAACGTGAGTTTAAATACGCATCATCCACACAACATGACAGCGGACAAGGGAAAATGCAGAACTCATTGCATTTAAATTTATACGTAGAAAATAGAAAAAAATATTGTTTGTGGACTCAAAAACCATTAAGCAGATTTTATTAAAATGTTCATAGTAAGTCAAACGATCCCATGGAAGTAACATAGGTTGGAAAAAACTGAGCATCAGAAGTATTCATACATCTGAAAGAATGTACATACATATGTAGAACATTTTCTATGGGTATATCTTAACGTAGCGGCTTGAAAATATGGTTGAGTAACATGGATACAAATACTCATCATCCGATGAGGAAATACTTTCGAATGATGAGGATATATTTTGAAATACATACATATGCATGTATGTATATTGAAATAAAAATTGTGTAGAATTGAAAAAAAATGGTTGACATTATAATTTTTCATTTTTGTCAGTTTGTGAAAAAAAAATTTTATTTTGAACAAAATCAAACAAAGTGTTATTTGGATTTCAAAAAAAAAAAAAAAAAAAACAACATTTTAATTATAAATCGTTTTATCACCTGGAAAAAGTCAGAGACTGGGATAGGGTAAATTCAGATACACCACTGTTATTTCAAACCAGTAAGGAACGTTCAAAAGTCGGACGGGCCCGACAATATGATACCCTTCACAACTTTGGGTACATACAAGAGATGCAAATATATACAATATCTGGTAAATAGAACAGACTTCGCATCTTTGAAGGTCCATTGAATTGGTATTGGGCGAAATTAAATGTGTGATCTTCATAGATATTTGCACCAATGAAAAAACCATACACATACCATTTTGAAATCAATGAAAAATTGCATGTCAAACAGGCAGACTTGGATTCTTTGGTACCATTTGTATGAAATCGAGTAAAATTATGTATGGGAGCTATATATAAGCACATGGATCTAATTGAGCAACCGTTGCATATAACATTTGTTTAAATCGTGTAAATCAAACAGACATAGGCCTTTCGGCATTTACATAAAATGGAACGAAATTATATATATAAGACTTAAATCAAAATCTGAACCGATTTCAACAAACCTTATCACACATCATTTTTTCTCAATAGCATTTGGTATGCAAAATTTTGCTCAATCGGACAAATATTGGGAGTTTGGTGTATCATTCACAAAAAATCGGATGAAACTATATATGGGAGCTATGTCTAAATCTGAACCGATTTTAACAAAACTTCGCAGACATCAGTCTGCACCAAATTCAGTAGTCTGTGCAAAATTTTGTCCCAATCGGACAAATATTGGGAGTTTGGTGCATCATTCACATAAAATCGGACGAAACCATATATGGGAGCTATATCTAAATCTGAACCGATTCTAACAAAACTTTGCATACATAAGTATGGACCTGATTCAGTGCGCTGTGCAATCGGACAAATTTGGTGCATTATTTGCCTTAAATCGGACGAAAATATATATGGGAGCTATACCTAGCTTACAACTCATCACTTTAGACTCAATTCGGTACGCTATGCTATATATATATATATAGGAGCTATATCTAAATCTGAAACGATTTTCATTGAAAATATTGGGAGTTTGGTGCATCATTTACATAAAATCGGACGAAACTATATATGGGAGCTATATCAGAAAGTGATTCTATGCATATTCTCAAAAGGAACTATGGGTGTATCACGATTCCTTTTGCCTGTTAGAAACATATGGACAAAGACCTGTACCACAGTGTGGTGAAGGGTTTTTTGAGGCTGCATATTTATTCCTTTATACTGTAGTACTAAGAGCTAAACACTTTCTTCAAGGCTTCTAAACAATTTGTGGAGGAGGTAACAGATGGAGGTGATAATATATATTTTTTGAATGGTTGTTACTTTGCGAAAAAAATGTGTTTCAAGAAAACAAAAATTACCACCATTACAGAAAACAGCGAATTATTTAATAACTACTATACAACTACTAGCTGCATATAGGATGCTTACTAATTGACCATATCTAAATTTGAATTTGATAACTTCAGCAGGGGCAGCGCCACGGGTCCCGCTAGTTTTCTATAATAAGTGTGTTTTCTGAATGTTAGGTGTACTGTACAAATTTTTGGCAATTTTGATAGATTTTACAGATTTTTTCCGATATTTTTATCTGTGAATGATTCTATCAGTGATTAGTTTACATAATTGAACTAAAGAGCTTTTTTAAAAATATTTTCAAAAAAATGCAGTAAACTAAAAAATCACACAATGTTTTAATTATATGGCCACTTCAAAACCGATGTGTTTTCATAAAAACCGTTATTTATGGAAACTTGCATGCAATAATTTTCTATTTTCGCACTAAATCTCTTAAGTGCAGAATATCGAGTTGTTCTGAATTAAAAAATTTTCAATAATACTTCAAACGAATCGAGAGCTGATCACAAAATGTTTACCACAGTAAATGTTTTAATTCTGTGACCACCACTGTATATCTACTAGCAGTATATTAAATATAAGCTCTAAAACATTTTGCTGCCTGTAGTCAACATTAGGCCACAAAGGCTTAATTAACGGTACAGACACACATGTTTCATATACTTGATTTGGCAAAATTTGATAGTTTCCTAGGAAATAAATCTTACATTTCCCAAAATTTTATATAATATAAAACATTCCGAATAGTATTAATCAAATTCGTATTAAGAAGTAAAATAACACTTAGTTCGGTGTATAATTTATTCCACAGGGCATTACATTAATTCCTAGTTAGGTATTCAATATAAATATTTTGGTTTTATTTTAATGCTATAAAAAATAATCAACAACTCTCTCTCTCTCTCTCTCATTCTCTCTCTTTCAATCTACTTAAAAGTATTCCATTATGGAATAGATTCAATACTTTTTTGGATTTGTTATATATAAACACCGGCTCGGCATTAAAATTAAACCAAAACTTTTTACTGTGCTCTTTTATTAGCTTTACCAAATAATGTCATTAGCTGTGTCTGTTTGGTAATAATTGTTCCTAAATGTTACTCGATGTTGTATGTTTACTCCAAAGTCCAATAAAATAGAGGGAGAAGAGTGAGCTAAGAACTTACTGAATGTTACTGGGTAAATTTCTTCTATTCAGATTTATCCAGCACATTCGATGTATTTCATTTAGTCGTTAATTTATAATTTTAACCAAAGTCAAAAATATTATTTTTTTATGAATTTTATTACTTAATAAGCCTAAAATGTAAATTTCAAGCATTTTAAGTGAAATTACGTGTTATTTTGCAAAATCTTACTGGATGATGTCTGTCTACTTTTCTTAGTATTATTGCAAAAGAGAATAAAAACGGCGTATTCTCTAAAAAAGAACTTACTGCGTAAAACTTACTGGAAAAGTAACCAGACACAGCTATTGTCAGAAGAAGCACTTTAAATCACTTTTTGTGTTACCCTGTTAATAGTTTCATACGTTTGCATGCTCACAGCTAGATGGCGCAGGTTGTTCCATTAGGAATTAAATTTTTTTCTTCTAATAAATTAGATTCATATTCCCTGGTATATTGGTATACCCACGTTCCTTTTAATAAATCCAAAACATTTCCCCCTCCCTATTGACGCAACACTTCACAATTTCAAGTTGTGTGTGTGTGTGTAATTCATACATTTAATACAATTATACAAAAAAAATCATATATTCGACAAATACTACAATTAAGTAAAATTAAACATTTAAAGATCACTAAAACATTTTACATAAAAATATGGCTTATAATTAATCTCAGTATAGTATTGTTTGTTGCGGACTTGTATATATGTATATTCATACATTCGGAACTAATGGCAACCGCAGCTTTTCACAATCATATTTTTATATTTTTTCAAATTGACAAGTTGTTCGTCCAAATGATAGAGTACAGGAAGAGCACCCAGCCGTGTTGGGGCACAACATGGTTTGGGTACCTTACTACGTTCCAATAGATGCACCAGTGTCTGAACAATGGCATGATTTGTGGCGTTCATATGGGCATTGAGTGGGAAATTACATTCACCGCTGCAGTAGTAAGCACCATAGCCCTCGGGAGCGATAATCCAGTCCTGCAAAAGGAAAATTAGAAGAAGTTAAAAAATTTAACATTAACTAGTAAAAAATTACGTTCTACCCTAAACCATAAGATTCAGTATTTCTGAAAAAGTGGATTTTTCAAAAAATGTCCAAGTATATTTTGAAACTTATTAGACACCAAATTTTTTAACATATTCACAAAATTAAGAACTTTTCAAAATATAGAAAATTGGTAGTACCATTGTAGGGACGCTATAGATAACTATGATAATAATAACTTTAGTTAGGTTCGCAAATTATGTCTGGAATATACCTAAAGGTGAACCTATATTAATAATTTTAAGGATGAAGACTTGATATTCAATGATAACCTAAAATATCAACCTTAAACCAATAATAAGGCTAGAAAAGTGTCCCAAATGCAGAAAATTTTGGAGAGTTGGTTATAATTGGAACTCTAAATAAAAAAAAGTTTGTTAGAATAGGCGTAAAAGATCCTTAATATAATTTTGAGGATGTTGCATGGAATGCTTTGCCTATATGCGGATTCAAATTGGGTTTTTGAATGCAGATGTTCCCGTTCAAAATACAAATGTTGGGCGCCACATGTTGCAGATGAGCCGAATCTTACATCAGCGCTTTATGGACATGTTCTATGAATACAGGGTCGTAAATCTTAATTCTATAGAAGGCTGAGTTAGATATCATAGTAAAAAATCAAGGGACCGCATTAGATATAGCTGTAGACAGAACCAGAAATTGAAATCCCATTTTTTCTTTTATGTCTTCTACCTTCACCGAAACAAAGCAAAACTCTAAGAAGCACGTTTTTCGATCTGTGGTTATTAAGCTTTCGAGAATTTTCACGCCAAGAAATATTACATGGGATTTTCGAAATTTTCACATTAGGGAATCCAAACTGGTCAAGTCTCAAGTACATACATACATAATGACTGAAAACGTAGGATAGTGATAGATGTATTGGTTAGACACGATATGCCTCGTCTTCAATTTATGTGCTTGCTTAAATCCTGGCAAAGGATTTATTACTATTCCAGTTCAATGAATCATTGGTTATGGTTTTGACTCTGGGATCTATGTTCAACCATCCTGAAGAAGTTATTTATCCTCAAAGAACACAGAATGCCTAAACACAGCCTCTTTCGTAAACATTGATTTATGTCGAAAAATTTCCACAGAAAAAGTTTTTACCCTCCAAGAAATCGGAATATCAAGTTACTGTCCCTTTAGACGGAACCGCTATGGGGGATATACCCCATACTCCAGCCAAAATTTTCTGAAATGGATCTGGTCCCACTGTCCCATGAAATTTAACTAGTTTCTTTTTTAGGCGCAGAGAAATTCAAGGAGAATTTTCAAGATTTGTAACTTTCCAACTAACCCAATAATTCGCAGCCCAAGCTAAGTTCTGAATTACGATCGTAAAACCTCCCCTTATAACATGCTACTCGCTTTTTATTCCTATTGAATTATTTTACTTACACGCCAGCCAAGTTCCTTAAAATCAATGTACAATGTTTGCATTTGACAGCTGCGTGATCCCTCACCGGGGCCATCTACAAGTGGATTGCCAATATCGGACTTCTTTCGGCGACGTGAGTGGGTATCACGCTTCCTGCGGCTATGATGTTTCACTTGTTTTAACAACTACAACAACAAAATCTCCATTAATAAAGATTTCCAAACTCAATAAATTAACAAAAAAACTCACCTCAGGACCACGGAAGAAACCAATCATAAACGGCTGATGTTCATCATCTCCCTTGGGATGTACCAGACCAATATCGTCTACTTTAATTTCCCTTTCCGGTTTATTTGTGGGATGGGCTCCAACATAGATGCCTTTATTTTCTTTCGGTTGATGTAACCATGAACTCAGACCTTCTGTCACATTCAATTCCAACCATCCCTGATAATCGGCTGTGGTATTAACGGATGATAAAATTTGTAGCTGTACATCATGACCATTGGTCTTGACTATCGAATAGACATTTATGGTGAATTCTCTGCCACTTGTTGCCCATTTGCCTTGTGAAGGATTTTGGTAGAGACGCAGTTCGGCCATCATCAGATAATTATCTTCGGGTACTTCGGAAACATCAAACCACAAACGACGTCCATGTTCATGACGTACCTCTTCGACGTGGTGGTCTAGCAGAAGAAAACAAAGAAAAAATAAAATACCAAAAATTAGTTCACAAGAATTCTTAACGAAGGATACGCACGATGAAAATGACTTAAAAAAATGAAAGGAGTGCACAACAAAATTTTGTTCGCTGTCTGCAAAATCAATAGAGTAGGCGGTTAGGCTTCTCCTCAAACAAAATCAGACTCATTGTCAGACACAATTTGTATGGCATGCAAAGGCAAAGCAAACAAAAACGGGTTCAAGCTGTGTTTTAAATGGATTTTTTGTTATCATCTTCTGACATTCCTTTCGTGGCAGCTTCTTGGAAACGTTATTGGCGGCCATACTCAGGTAGAAAACAACAAAAATTTCGTTACGTCAAGCAAATAAGGCGCCAGTACACTTTAAACGTTTATTCGGATATTACAAAGCGAATACAGTCACCTCATCTCTCACTGCTCATTCAGCCATTCAGTCAGATATTATTACCTGTTGTCTGGCGAGTGATCTGCAGCCCATTTAGTATGGCTATGTTCTTTCTGATTATAATGATGATTATTTTTAGTGGTCTTAATTAAGTCATTAGCAAAAGGAAATGATTATCGTATGAATTATGTGGGCTTTGTGTCAACTTCGTCAAATATCCTGTACCGATATCAGATTTTTGTTATAAAAATGTATTTTTAAATAAAATGTATAATCAAGAACAATGGGCGGCAAATTGTTTTGCCAGGTTATCAAATGTCAATATTTTTATTAAGTCTTGAATGTCGCAATATTTAAGATTGAACCTTTAAATAGGATGTTTTATATTTCGGTGAAACTTTTAGAATAGACCCTATACCACGGACCCCTCCCTCTAGCCGTATTAACCATGATGCAATGATAAGGTGGTGTATCAAAACAAAAACCATTGTTTTGTCTCGACCATCTATCAAAATTTTCCATATAATATTTCATATGGTTGGCAACCTTGCACATCGAATTCAAGTAGAAATTACGCATTTTGACAGTAAATCGAGTCATCAGTTGCGCTACAATTTAACATTTCTGATTCTCGATAGGTAGAACACCTAACCGCAGAAAAACTTCAGGTATCGTCCCAATTATGATATTTAAACATTCTAGCCGCAAATTTTCATGAAATGACTGAAAATTTATTTTTCGGGTTCGGAAAAGAACTCCCGCCAAAGTCCAAATGAGTTGGTACTCTGTTTAAGTAGTTCTTAAAGTATTTTTACGTTGTTCCCCTTGTACTCACTTTTATTCAGAAATGTCATTATGATATCACTTTCGTGTATGGCCCTCTTGTCTAGATCTGTTATGAAATTTTCCTGCTCTTGTAGATCACGTTTTGAGCGAACTGATGCCGGCGGCTCATCCTCATTTTCCTCTTCCTTGAGCCGATGATAGACGTCCAAAAGAAACTGAGGCGCAGATTTTCTGGAAATAAAAACGGAATAAAAAGATTTTCAATATGTAAAAAACGACGTTAACGCTTGTAAATTCGGCTAAAAACCAGGGTGCAGAGAATGATTAAAATACGCTCTTTTACGGCGAGAATTAGAATGTTTTCAATGTATCGCGAATGATAAAGTTACACTGAATGAACAAGTATTTGCAATCTCTCGCGGATGTTCGCATTGTACGAAAAATTTCGCTACAAGCGTCGTCGATTTGTTCATTAGTTCGTTTCGTTTGTTGTTATTCTTGTAGCTGTTTTGAGAATTCGCGAATGTTTGAATATAAAAACAGGTAAAAACTATGATCCAATTTAGGGCGCATAACCCTCGAGCCAAAAGGGTTTTTAACAATGTCAGCACTGAAACACTTATTCAATTCTTAGAGACAATCATGCTGGCGCAATTGTATAGATTCTTCAAATGGATAAGCTCAAAATAAAGAATTTAATCACTTTTATGAGTTATCAATTCAAGTACAATCTGTAGAAAGCTTTTTCCACGCTGAACTTGTTTTCAACTATGCGAGAACGATGTAAATGCTTTAAGGCTAATATCAAATTTGATATATATGCGTGAAGTGTATCCTAAATAGAAATATCATACTCAGGACACGACCAATGGCACAATACATCAGTTTGAGTCAGTCCAAATGCATGAAGCTGGACTTGTAAAGTCGGATTCTGGGCTCTAAAAAAAAAGAACTGGAGACCAAGATTTCACTCTATGTTTTAGACCATAATAATACCTTTCACTGTTGTTGATATTGTGGATAACGTGTAGAAGAAATAGTGAAAAATACTGCAAAGAGAGTCGGTCGCTATGATCTAGTAAATCGTAATTACTGTGTACCGACATTAATATATTAGGTCACACTTAGCTCGAAAGATCGAATTTTCCAATTTTTCTATCAAATTCCATAATTTTTTTTCTAAATTATATTTTCTAAAGCTGCACATTATTCTTAAGATTTAAGTATAGATGTTACAACAATATTTGTAGGTTTTAGAGGCAGGAACTTCAAAATATATATATATATTGTTTTGGCACTGAACACATGCTGTGCTCGTACACTTCGAAGGAAGATATTTTCATTTAAATTTTGAAAATGAATGTTGTCAAAAATAAATTATGTCAATAAGTATACCCTGCTTGCCAAAATGACTACTGTACAGGGTTGTATTCAGACAGCCCTGAATACAACCCTGAATCTTTTTCCACTGGACATTCTGGTTAAATTCCAGGCTGCAAGATGTGCCCCGAGGCTCCAGGAAACTTATGCCTGGAAGTCGCTGAATTTTGGCCATGCTACTATTCTAAACACAACGTCAGTTTGTGTCCTTCTAGAGAGATTTCAACGACAATAGAGTAGAGTTTCCTGGTAGGGAATCCTGGGCAAGTTGCAAGTTACCTCTGGCCGGTCTATCGATTTTTACAGACGGGTAAAATATGGAGGAAGGTACTGGTGCAGGTGTTTACTGCAAGGAACAAGCCATCTACAACTCATATAAACTTAAAGACCTTTGTAGCGTTTTTCAGACAGAAATCCTAACAATCACGAAATCGGCTGAGATAGTCAAAACACTTATTGTCGATAACATAGTACCGGTGACTATATATGTCGATACTCAGTCGGCGCTTAAGTCACTTAAGTCGTGTACTATCAACTCAAAAGCGGTTCGTGACTGCAAGGATGCTCTACATCAGGGGTAGTCAACCTTTTTTAATTACCACCCACTTTTTCACCTGGAGTGATATAAAAATATTCTTACCGCCCACCTAATCCAAAGTGTTGTTTATTGATAAACTGCTTTTATTTATTAGCTTTTTACATTTTATTAAATAATTTTAATTAAGTATAGTGAACTATTAAGTATATAATGGAATCCCTGAGGCTGATGCTGCAAAATTAATATCTGGTTATGTTTTCGTCAAAAACAAGCGAAAGTCTCCTCATTCAGAAAGATGAAGGCGGTTTCTTTCTTTGTTCATGATGTGGTTAACAGCACTAAATCCTGATTCGACTAAATATGAGGTAGGAAAAGGTATTAATAATGTGAATACCTCTTTCCACATATTTGGATGTAAAAGATGTATTTTTTTATGTTGCCACAACTTTTCATATCCGCCATTTTCATATCCGTATCGCCCACTAGTGGGCGGTAGGGACCAGGTTGACTATCGCTGCTCCACATGATACACGACAGTCAGTGAAACAGTTAAATTATGTTGCGTTCCAGAACACAGTAACATAGAAGGTAATGAGATAGTCGATGAAAAATAAAATAAGTACGCTTAAACAAAATGAAGGTATTCGGGTATGTTCTGGAACTCACGGTATGTTCTTTTCACTTTACACATACACTTCACCTCAGAAGCTACATCCCGTTCTGCTTCTCGCGTGAATTGAAATTTTGAACTGCGACAAAAATAAACGTCGACATGGTACTTTACAGAAATAGTGTTGCCATACAATATAAACTGTATTCGTTTTTAACATTGTTTCTATAATTTTTTAGTAATTTCGTTAATTCTAACGACAATTTTATTATTATTTTTTAATATTTTATTATTCGCAACATAAAATATATGTATGAAACATCTGTAATATCATTTATTTGTTGATTGATTTAAGGGGAACATTTGGTAACCCTATCTTCTTCGGCCTTACTTCAAATCAGCTGTTTGTGTCAAGCTAGAAATTCAGTTGAAGAAAATTCAAGACAAACCTTAGTATCTATTTAAAATTTGTTTTTAATGGTGTTTCACGTCCTTTTTGTGATTTTAAACAAATTATACGCAATAATAACATATCAATCTATCATCATGTACGTTTTTTATTTCAAACAGATTTTCTTTCATATAAAAAAATATGAATAGACCCGACTCTCACTATGAAAATGTAAGTGTAAAGAATGCTAGAACATACCCGATTATTTATTTCCTTAAGGTATTTATTATTCCTTAAAAAACAAATTAAAGAGGATCAGAATGGAACAGTGGACATATTTTAACTACCGTAAGATTTTAAATAATTTGACGACAGATTTTAATAACAAAAAATAGTTAGAAAAATCTTAAAGCATTTGAATAAGTTCTAATAAAATAGAGTTTACTATTTTATCCTCCACTGTATAAATAGCAAATGTTGTCGACTAGTGTTATTGAATTATAATATTTTGATTATATTTCTTCATAAAACGATTGAATTTCCAGGTGACATACAAAGCCCGTATTCAAACTCAGTTATTTATAAGAAATGCAAATTTTTGTTCAATACGACAAGTTTGCAAATATTTGATCGTTCGTAAGCTCGTCTTTTATTTTGTGTTCTTCTATTATCGACTAATTAACATTTCATTTCTGGTTATAGAAAAATAATCACTTGTATTGTGGCTCCGTTTTGTCTACGAATCAAAAATAAAAAATAGCTTTAAAGGTAAACAAGAAATATGATGTAGATATGTGTGTTTTATTTGCAAACGAATGACTTTTATTCGTTGTTATTTAATACGAATGGAGAGTGTTGTAATTTTTGCAATTGGAGGGATGGTATAATGTTACCCTTCGATAGATAGCATATTTAGCTGCCCTTGTGGCTTGAGATGATTACATTTTTGGATTTCTCGAAGACCAGGAATCGGAATCAAAAATAAAATCGTAATTAGATCAGAAAAAATAAGCGAGTAAGAGAGAGAGAGAGAGAGTCGATAGAATTTCCGCCAAGGCATAATATCCGAAGAACTAATGGACCTACATCCAACCTAACCATTAAACACTAATTCGAATTTAGTGGTTAAAATGTAGTTAAATTCGATTAATGGAGCAATCAAGGATAGTCTAATTTTAGTAGTACTATTGTTAAAATTACTTGGAAGGTACTTCACAGAAATTGGAAAAAGGTGGTATATGATAAGTTATAGATCGATATTACTATTTTATCTGGTGTTCAACTAGGTAGTTCTTTTTGACCTTTTTAATATTCCAAACTTTGCCCACCGTAATATTTCTTCCAAACATAAATCATGTTCTAAGATGGAGAATGTCAAAACACTCCTTCCAGTACCTCCCTACAAACTTTTGCTGGAGATTAAATTAATATCCTTTGAAAGGAATATACGAATATTATCGGCAATTTAGTTTGAAAATCTTCCATATTGTACATTTTTTGTTTCCGTTTTCATACGATTAAGACAAAATTGGCAACTCGGATGAATTCATCTGCCCTTATTCGACGACCCCATTATTGGGTCAAGCTTCTCAATTTCATTGTCCATGGTTTAAAACTTAACCGTCTAACTTTAAACCATTCTATGAGCGAAATTGGTGGTGGGTGAAGCAGGGGATAATAGATACCAAGCAACGGCTCTGATTGGCTTTATTATGGCAAATCCTAGGCTTATCTTGGTCCCTAGGGTGTCACCTACACCCCGGGGAGGTGTCACCTGGGGTAGCTTCTTTCATTACCCGTACAAATAGTGAGCTGATATGTGCCACGAGTTCACCCATGAGAACTATAAAAAAAATAGAAACAACATATGGCTGATTCCCTGGTCATGACATTAAAATTCTGCTAGGAGATTTTAATGCAAAAATCGGAAGGCTTTTATACAGGCACGTCCACCTGCAGATACACAGGGTTACATATACAGATAAAATCTGAATTCTATCTGGTATCAAATAGAGGCGGTGAAAGAGATTCCCCAGAACCAATAATAGATGATGGTATATATTACCAATATGAGGTCAGAATAACAATTAATGGACTGAAGAATAATAAAGCAGCAGGCACCGATGGATTGCCAGCCGAACTATTCAAGACCGGTGGCCAGATGATGGTAAGGAACATGCACCAGCTGATTAGTACAATTTGGCTAGAGGAATGCAAGCCCAATGATTGGAACCTCAGCATCCTGTGTCCCGTGCACAAAAAAGGAGACAAGACTATATGTGCCAACTATAGAGGAATACTTCTCATTCCCATCGCTAGTGCACTGTGTGAACGACTGAAGCCAATAGTTAATGACATTATTGAACCATACCAATGCGGCTTCAGGCCTGGCAAATCCCCCATTGATCAGATTTTCAATCTGCTCCAAATCCGGGAAAAGACTCACGAAGAACACATCGACACATTTCACCTATTCGTCGACTATAAAGCCATGTCTGCGTTGGGCATTCCTGCAAAATTAATACGGCTATGCAGGATAATTTTAAGTGACTCAAGGTCAGCAGTTAAGTCGGAAAGAATCTCTCGGAGCCCCTTAATATTTATTTAAAAACATATTTAAGTTTCTGAGAATTTTGTAACAGCAAATATTAACGAACACACCTAATATTAGTACTACTACTACTCACCTCAATGATAGATGACCACGTTTTCGTCTTGGACGATCGGGCAATCCCAAAAACTCTAGAATATCATATGCTGCTGCCATTCTTTCCTCTTCGTCGAGCACGTGATGGATTATGGTTTGATCGCGACCATTGTCAACATAGATGCCAGATTGTGTGGCACTCACAATAATACTGGGAAATGTCTGCGAAGGATTAACACTAATACAATCGAGCAGGACAGCCGCAACAAATGCCGCAAGAAGTGTTGAAAGGCATAGGGGTTTGGTGGCGTATGATGTTATGGCCGATTTTCGATGTAATGGCCAGAAATTGTTCAGTAAAATGGCAAGTTTATTGTGATACAACATTGTTGCAAATTGTGTGTGAGTGTGTGTTTATCAAATCAAATAATTACGAGCTTGACATTAAAGCTTGAACACTCTAACTTTCGGTTCGTTGAGGGACTTGAGAATTTATTGGTAATAATTTACACTGTTACTGAGAAGTGTGACGTTCTGACGTTCTCCGCTATCGATGATATATAAATTTTAAATATATTTATCGTTTAAGGGTTCGTACTGTACGAAATGTTATAGCTTTTGTGTTTTGTGGGTGTAAGAGGAGGAGGCGCCACAAAGTGTGAGTGAGAACGAGAGCGGGGTAAGGCGCCAATACTTAAGTAGCTGTTGCTGGTTGTTTGTTGTATCTGTTTGCTGGCTGGTTGGCTGGATTATCCGGTTCTGTGGGATTCAATGTTTACATTTGAATGTGTTTCGTTGTTGTTGTTGCTGTTTCTTTCTTTTTTTATTTTCTTTCTAAATTTTGCACGTAGCTATTTTGAGTGTGTGTGTTTTGTTATGTTGTGTGTCTGTCCGCCTGCCTGACTGCCTGTATTTGTTTAGAAATCGCACAATATTTATGGGCTTTCAATTACGAACTCTTCATAAATTCTTCACACGTTTCACGCTAAGCAAAATACCACTGCAAGCAGGCAGGAGAGAGATATTCTGCGGTCGGCGTATGGATTTTTTAGTTTTTTGATGCAGGCGGCAAGCCCCAAAATCAAATTGTGATGGGTTCTAAGAAACGTCAAGGCCGTTTGCTACCTTAAAAACGATCAATAGACTTGAGTGAAAATTACCCAAACTCACTATACGGGTGGGTAGCTTTACGCGTGGCTTGCCAATTTGTTGTATTTTTGTATTTAATTAAATATTCTTTATGTAAACAATTTGTAATTGTTTGTCTCGAATATTCATTCGGCTCTCTGCGAAATGTGGGATGCTGGCCGATACGACTCGATACAACGTGTAAGTGCGCGTGTTTAATTAAGTTTAATGATTTTAATTTATTTGTTTAATTAAAAGAAATGCGTTCGGATTTCTTTCGTTGCGGGATGATGGTGGAAATACCAACTTAGTTATTCTTTATTCTCTTTCTCTAGCTCTTTTTTTCAAATTTTACACACTCTTTTGTCAATCAGTATTTAATCAAAGAAACGAAAACAATAGCAACAGCCTCTCCCTTCCGATCTCAAGGCATGCAAAATATTGATACAAGAAGAGCTTTGTTTGTTTGCTTTTTAGTTTTTTTCCAAGTGAATTTTTCTTCTTTCGCTCTTGTTTTCAATAACTTCGAGAACAAACTGGTTTTAGTTCACAATGGTGTACATATACCATAAATTTTTAAGTATATAGATTTTTTTACTTTAATTTTTTTTCACAGCACTTAATTTCATTTATTTCTTTTAAATATTCTGCGTTTTAAATTACAATTATTTTAAGCGTTTATCGATAATTAAAGAACCGAACGTTTTTGTATTTTATCCGCTTAGTGTATGGTAAACGTGCATCACTCACAAAGGTCCAGCAATAAACTGATGAGAGTAACCACAAAATTTCAATTCTCAACTCTATAACGAACCACAACCAAGCAACCAACCAGCCAAGCAACCATTCAACCCAACCGCTCAGGCAATTCATCTATGTATCTGTCGATCGATCGGTTTATCCAGTTGTAATGTATCTGGAACTCTTGGCCTCACACAAAACCCAACAACTACCGAACTTGTCGTCTCTTCGAAACAACACGAAATATGTGCATGCCTGTTTTGTATCTCTGAGATACGAAAACAAACTCTTTCTCAGAAGAAAACACACACTCATTCGCACACACACACACACACACACAGCAGAAAAAGAGTGGTCATTGTTTGGTCTGATCATTTGGTGTTCTTGTTGTTGTATTTGTTTTCACTTGTTTGAACGTTATATGTATCTTCTCTTCTTGGTTTTTGTTTTTATTATGGTTTCGCATTTTTGTTTGAATTTTCCGCATAAGACAGTATGCATGGATATTAAGGTGGGTGGTCGTTTTCATTTAAATGCCAAATCTATTCCAAAGATAGTAAATTTTCACACTTGGTAACACTTGATTATTTTTTCACATTAGAACAATTTTAGTGTTTTGCAGCTTTAAAGCTATGAATGAGAAAATTCTTGGATATATTAAGAGGGGGCTTTGAGATCTTTTTGTTGCAATTGGTAAATATTTATCGTTAATGGCGATATACGTACATAAGCCCACCAAAGCCTGAGTTATTTTAGGTTTAAAATTAGGAGTAGCTCCATATAACAGTACCTCCAAATTTTAGGAATTTTTAAGGATTTACTCGCAAACCGAAAGGACTTTATTTTGATGTTCTTGGGGTGTAATGACAAGGTTTTAACAATGCCCTCATTTTATGGTACCGCAACATTTTGGGTATAAAGCGTCCTGTTTTCTGGGATGTTAAATTCGGCTCATCCGTAATATTTGGCGCCCAACATAATAATATTTAATTTTATTTTTAAACCATCTATCATATGGGGGTATATTAGGTTTATTATTCCGTTATTAAAATAAAAATATTCAACCCTGGCAAGTATATACATCAGGATAACATTTTAGAATACAATTTTATGACAATTAAGCCAAGTCCGTCGTCGATAGATACGAATAGTCCAATATACATATTGGTTTACGTCGATGATATTTTAAACGCAGCCCAATTCAAAACGAGGAATACAAGAAGTCGAACGAATTCTAATGGATATTTTGAAATAAAGAATCTGGAAGAAGTGCATCACTATTTGGGTCTTGAAATTAAGAAAGACAACGGTCGTTTTTGCTATCGCCAGAAATCCTATATCGACAAACTTCTAAAGGAATATGGTCTTCAAGAAGCGAAGATCTCAATAATCCCAGTTGATCCAGGTTGCGGAAAATGGGTTTCAGAAAAATTAGATAACAATAATGGTTAACCAAAAATTAGTTGGGTTTTTGTTGTACATTGCAGCGAGTATATCAATTCAATATAGGAAGATTGAATATCCAACAAAAGAACATTGGAATGCATTAAAACACATATTAAGCTATCTAAAAGGCACTTCGTAACACTATCTGAAGTTATGTTGTGAACATTTCCAAAATAATTGTCTCATAGACTATACCGATGCAAATTGAGAAGAAGGCAAAGATGATCGCAAAGTCTAACGCAGGATTCGTTTTTCAATTGAATGGCGGATCAGTCTCCTGGTGTTGTTGAAAGCAATCTTGCGTAGCTTTCTCATTTGTTCACTTCCAGAATAAGGGAGCCATCTGGCTACGAAAACTTCTAACAGACATGATATTTGATATTTTGTATGATATGCTTTAAAAAACTTTCGGAACCATAGAGTAACTTCGGGTAATGCTTGAAATATGTCAATGCTGCCTTGATAAATGTTTTCCTAATTAGTGAAAACAAACATCAAACTTGGTTTTTAATATATAATTGCAATGTTGAAAATGTAGTAGTAGAAAATGTAGCTCTCATTATAAAAGTGTGTTTTGAACATTTTTTAGCACAATTGTCGAACGTTTTTGCAAAATAGACGAACACTTTGTTTCCCTCGAATATAAAGAAGTTATGTGGTTTTCTTGTTTTCTTTAACAAAAATATACATTTTAGCTGTAATTACAATCGTTGATTTTTAATTTTTATTAATTTTTAAAGCCGATAATTATTTTTAAATAAAAATATTCAATGTCGGGTAATGTGGACCACTATAAAAAAGTGCGACATTTTCATGAGGACGAGTTCGAAAAATGGGCGCATTTAATATGCGAGAAGGTATTCTATCCTCTCAAAACTCGATATGCGAAATTCAAGGTGCTTCGGTTGGATAATGAAGCAAGGACCTTCAAAATACCGCAAATGGGGCGGTACCCTTATATGGGGATATTCCAAAACATTAACCCATATATTTTTGCATTCATTGTTATTCAAGAGTGCAATAAATTGAAATTTATCACAACCAATTCACAACCTACATTTAACTTACTGATCCTCATTACTCACACATACCCGCCAAGTTATTTGTATTCGCAGTTTAGAGTTTTTTGAATTATAATGCAATAACCTTTTTATAGACAAATATATATAATGTTTGACCTGGAATATATTTAGCCCGAAGTTACTCTAGTGATGTTTGGTACACTTCTATGCATCCCAAAAAATTATTTATTGCAAAAATTCTGTGTTCTGATTGGTGGAAATAATTCGCTTCAAATGTTATGTGTCTGCGAATTAATGTATATTCGCTTTGTTGAAATATCATGTTACCAATTCGCCGATGCGGCTACCTTATATATCTACCTTGAATTTAGTCTTTTATAAACTGTGTCTTCGATGAAATTTCTATTTCGGATTGCGTGACAAAATTCCCTACCAAAGCTTTCGTTGTTAGTAGTTGTAAATGAAATTTTGTTATTTTCAGAGTTTCTGAACACGTTTTGAAACCGAATTGGCTGTAATTTGATATTTTGGGTTCATTTTAATTTTTCGAAAATTTCTTGTGGCCTATGGGTTGCAAAATATCCTTCGAAAACATAGTCGACATAGGTCTACTTCTTTGCTATGTGTCTTGCATAAAGATCTTAAGATTTTCGGTTCGGAAATTTTGCCGGTCGTACTTAACGCATTTTTGACTCATTCGATGTTGTTTAATTTTCTTTTGTTATTGTAAAAACAACAACACCAACAAACCAGTAAGGAATGTGGTAAAGTCGGACTGGGCCGACTATATGATACCTTTCACCACTTTGGGTATATTCTACATATGTATCCTAACAGACGTCGCGTTTTTGATATATACCTATATCTGAACAGATTTCAGGGAAACTTGCCAGAGACTAATTTATATTATTTCAGTACGTTGTCTCAATCGTCCTAGCTATGGATATTTTCACGAAGCTAAGCACACATCATTCCAGACTAAATCCCGTAACCTGTACCAAAATATCGAAATCGAAAGATATATAGGTATTTTGGTGCACCAATTACATA